CTAAGAAAGCTATTAAGACATAAATAATTCGTTAGAAATAAAAAAAAAAATAATAATACTTTTTGCAAATCCTGGATGAAGAAACTCTGCTCACCGATAAACAATTCTCAAAACAAAATGGTTGATTTGTAAAATTAGAAAGAGGATTGAAAACAAATTAAACACATTAGGAAAAAAGACGGTTTAGATTCCTTCAATATTCACCGGAAGAAATGGGAAGAATTAAACTGCTATTCCAAATAATACGCATATACTGTTCAATAGTATTTAACACAATGATTTTCTTACATATCTCAAAAATATTCTTATAGGAAAAATTAAACAAACATTGTCGATCAAAACATGTTTAAAACCACTTTTTGAGAAACATTTATTAACAATAAATAAATAACCCATATGCAAAAGATTTAACGTAATATTTAACAATGGTCTCTGTTCTGTTCACCCAGTCGTTTCCGTAGTCTTCAACTATTTCTTGTACTTGTATTTTGACCCATCCTCTTCTTTGTTTAAAATTCGATGGATTTCTTTTATGAACCAACTTGTTTCCACAAATTTTTTGATTAGATTTAAATCCGGTGACTGTCTTGGCATTTTGAGGACATTAATGACATTATTATTAAAAACCAATTCCTTAGTTGTTTTTAGCAATTTATGTCAATGTCTTGCTGAAATACAAAATCACGACCATGTCCCAAAAATGTGGGCACTTTCAAGATTGAAATTGACAAAATTTGAGGGTATTTTTCAGGTTCCTTCGATGAAAAAATTTGAAGGAAAAACAACCCCAATCATAATTTTCCACCCCATGTTTGACTGTGGGCATGGTATTTGATAGCTTATTCCGTTCCTTTTTCCTCCATAAATGTTTTCGTCCGTAAAGTTCAATTTTCATTTCGTCTGACAAATGAAATCATTAGATTCAATTTCATATTTCTTTAAAAATTCAAACAGGCTTGTCTAGTAATGGAGTTTTTTCGGTGATCTTGAAGTGAGACCTGCACGATTCAGTGATCTTTTTTGTATCTTTAATAACTTCAATTCCACATTTTTCAAATCATTCTGAGAGTTTGAAAATGGGCTTTTCTTCCCAGTACGGGAAATGTATCGCTCATTAGCCTCATTTAAGATATGGGGACAACCATTTTTTGAATGTTTTCAATAGTATCGATTTTTTTCATTTTTGAACAACAGCACCAACTGTGCAAATTCAAATCTTGAATTTTTCTATATCCCTTACCATCTTTGATTCTTTATGATCTTCTTTTTGTCGTTCGACAATTCTTTTGTTTTCACCATTTTCTTGCAGTAGTGGCAACAGAATATGCAGTATATTTTATCTAATAGCCAGTTGAAGTGCAGACATTGGTCGACATATCACATCATATCAATATGGGTAGGAATTTCTTCTAGCAAAATTTGCATTGGTGTTAAATACTTTTGCATATGGGCTATTTTATTTATTGTTAATAAATGTTTCTCAAAACAGTGGTTTTAAATTTTCCTTCTAAGATCGACAATGTTCGTTTAAATATTTCCTATAAGTTTTGTTGAAATTGATCTGTTATTTTTTTTTGATATGTAAGAAAAAACCAAAAATACTATTGCTACTCACTGTTAACTATGTGTTGTATATTTTCTTTTGTGATACCATTGTTCTTGAATTTAAAAACATATATAATGAGACAATGTTACATTTGTTTTTACCCCAGGAAGAGACTAGAAATTACTCGTAATGAAAAAAATGATAATCAGATGAGAGAGAGAGAAGAAACAACCTACCTGAAGAGTTTGAATGAAAGGATGGCGTGATAGTGTATGGGAGAGATGGAAAAAAAAAGTTATTAAGTGTTGCAAAAGAAAGGAGATTGTGGAGAGCCAAGATCGCCAATGTTCTGAAAAGGTCACAGAACATAAAAGAAAAAGAAGCTCAAAAAATTAAGAGCTTTTAACTTTAACTGAACTGCTTTAGAGTAATATAATAATTTAATTAAAGAAATGAAAGTGTGTAGCTTAATATTACATGACATTTTTAAAAGCGAATCCACTGGTTTCGCACCCGCTCTTCAGGCATCTACAAGAGATTTAACAGATTAAAACAACTGGAAAATGTGTAATGAACAGGAGACAAAATGAACACAAAGAGCTAGAGACAAATAACAGCGAGCCCCAACAAATATTCACGCTGTTTACACAAGGAATGTTTTCGGGACCCGATATAATGTGCCTCCAGCAACTTGAGATGAAATAGAGAGTGAGACAGGGACAAAACACTGAACCAATCAGCACTAAAATTAGCAGCACACCCTCTGTTGTTTAAAAGGAGCGAAACCGGTTGCTTCGCTTTTAAAAAAAGCTACAGACTTTCATTTCTTTTATTAGATTGTATACCTTTAAAAATATTTTCAAATAATTTAATATAATTCAAAATGAAAGAGACGATCTGTAACCTACCCCATTTATCTATTTATCGTATAATTCTGGCTATAATTATGACCTGATAAAATCAAACACGAAGCCATGTTTTTTGAGCATAAGATGATTTTGCATGAGGATAAACGATTATGGGAAGCGTGCTAATCATTTCATTCGGTGTTATGTCAAGCGCTGCTACCAGGAATCACGATGGAAACAAATTGCCAATGAAACAGCCAAAAATGAAGACTAATTTTGCACCACATCAAATTAACGAAAAACACAAATCAAAATTGTCACCAAATCCTATTAGTCATCAACTGTAACTTTACTGGTATTTCTAAATTAAGACTCGACAGCTATGAACATATTTCGCAAAAAATCGTTTTAAAGAGATTTTTTCTTCCAATACGTCTAGCGATTTTTTTTTCAGACAAAACAATAAACATTGAACAAATGTTAATGAATTTAAAACATCACACTCAAAACTCCATTGAAGTGTCTGGTCGTTGTATTCCAGAAAACAGTTGTAGAAGAGGAAAACCCTATTCCTTGTATAACATAAGTCAATTCATTTCTTTTCCAAATTCTAAGAGAAACATTACGATTTCTTCCGAAGTTGGCAGTTGTACTTGTAATTTCTTGTTTGATATACACCGCCAAACACCGCTTGATTTATGTGGGTTGCTCAAAAGAAAAATGAAATAAAAGATTAAATGGCCAGATGTATGTCACACGTAACACTATGGCATCAACAGAGCTCGTGGGACATTTCATTACAAACGTCCGTCATTTCGGCGACCATCTTAAGGTGTACATTCTGAAACGACATCTAGAATCCACCGACACAGCCACACTTAAAACCCATGAGGATAGTTGTATACCATAAGTCATTTCTCTCTCGATTTTAAAGAGAAACATTACGATTTCTTCCGAAGGTGGCAATTGTACTTGTAATTTCTTGTTTGATATACACTGCTAAATATGGCTTAATGTTGGACAATCTCTGATGAAGAACAAACTGAAAACCACTGAGAGCTGGTTCTACAGAACAATTTAGAGAATTGTAAAAATAAATAGGAATTAAAGAGACATTCATATTTAAGAGGCGGTTGAAGGTAATGAGACACATTAGGAGAAAAGACGGTTGGGAAAACAATATTCACAAACGCCGTATCGGAAGAAATAGGGGAAGAATTAAACTGCGAGTAATTTTCTTAAGGAATAATACGCATATAAATCTATGTATATGTATATTTTTTAATCATTTAACCGCAAACAAGGCAATAAAGCCGCTAAGTTGCAAGTGATTACTGCGTGTGAGAGAATATGATAAAAAGAAAACATTATCAAGAGAAAAGAACAATAAATGTACATGATGAATGAAAAAGACTTTTAACGACTGACATTGAATTTAAATTTTTGATGATCAGATTTGACTGGAAAGCAGTAGGCCGGGAAATAGTTAAACAAGCGAGAAGAACGAAACGAAAAACTCTTATTTACACTAATTACATTGTTCGGACTGTTGTCCTTATCTTTGTTAACATATTAACGACATTTCGACTGTTGTACGCTCCGGACTTCTTCAGGTGATAGGAAGGATGCCGGAGCGTATAACGTTCGAAATGTTGTGAATATGACAACAAAGATGATGTGATCACTCCGAACAATGTAAAAAGTGTTAATAATTACAATATCTCATTTCGGAAATATAGAGTGATATTGTAGAACCTGTTGCGTAAAACTTACGGGTATATCTATCCATTTTCATTTTAAAATTAGCCATAACTGCTCTTAAATACATAAATCGGAGGTACCAAATTATCAAAATAATTACCACTTAGTAGTCCTCCCTTTATCTCGTGGTAATCTGGTCAAAATTCAGTCCTTTATTGATGAAAATGGATTGACGTCTCCAGAGCGATGTTATACCCGAGGCCGTACGAAGTTCAGCCTACATGGCCCCACTCTCGGCTGTAACAAGATCCAAATGAATACGGAGCATTTGAATTGGGGACAGCTTTGCTGCAAGTGTTGTCACTGTTTCAACGCCAACCGCCATCGTGGCCCCACTCCGGGTTTTCTGTCTGTAGATGAACTAATTTTCTGACCTGTTGAACTTCATCTTCCCACACAGCTGGTCATGAGGCGTCAGTTTTCCGCCTTCTCAATTTTTAAGCCTTGGAACTGGAATTCATTTACAAAGGTTATTTGAGACGCATGCAATGGAAGAATTTTATAGACACTGAGAGCTTCTCACGATCATTCATAGCTATGACAGCCTTTTGAACATATATAATACACGTATATAACATTATATACATTACGTGTTTTACCACATATTTCCACATTAAATATATATATAAAATTGTTAAGGTAATTAATTACCTATAGAATGCATATACACTTTTAATAATAATTTTCTTTATTACAATAATATAATCAGTCAAATTAAATTATATTTTTGTTCAATAATTAATTTTAATATGGATATTAAAAAAAGCAAATTACAAAGACAGCCATATCTCCAATTCAGAACATTGACTGAACGCTGTCACACAGTAGCTCTTCAATAAAGTTACAATGTGAATAGAAATATTTCTCAAGCACGAAGTGACACAGCAATAGATATTTCACGTCACAGTGTAACCGTAACTTTCTAGGAAAAGACGGGTCTGAAGTGTTGGTTGGAATGACGTGTGAATTAGCTATATTTAAAAAAAGAAAAAAAGACAAATCTAAAGCAGACAGAAAAATAACAATACTTACATATAGTCACCTGAACAATAAACACTTTGATTAATAGTTTTTGACAGCCATCATTACTCAAATATCGAATAATTCACATTTAAATTTTCAACGGAAACCAGGAAAATCGTACGAAATATAGAAAACGTAAAAATAAATAAATAAATAAATAAAATAATAATAAATATTTCTTTGATCAAAATTGTATTTTATCGATTCGGCCAAAACACGTCGGATCTAACGACGTTTCCCTCTGCCCAGGGGGTGGGCGCAGGTTCGATTTCTGTTTGAGAGCGCATATTATTTTTCTTTAATAATCTTATTAATTTAACTTATTAATATTAAACTTATATTCTCGAATATTCAGGCCGGTTGACGAAATTAAATAAATATACTGTTTAATAGATAAATGGAGCATCTACTCAAATATATATATATATCTACTAAAAATAATTTTGAAGTCATAAAATCTAATTAAATAAATAATCCATTATTTCTTTTGAACATTTAGATACGAAACTGAACAGAGACTATGACGAAAATGATTTCGGTTTAAGGCACTATACAGCCTTACTCGACCGGGAAATGTTCTTTATGTCCGAACCGCTTAAAGCATGCCAAATCTAAGGACCCTTACATCTTCCCAGGCAATGTTTTTTGTTTTAAAAAGCGATGATTAAAATTGTAATAAAAAACAAACATATGAAGGTTAATTTACACATTTTCTTTGTTCTTGAGAACTGACAATAAAAATAATAAGCATTATTTATTAGATTGTTTGCTATTTATTAATTATATTGTTCATTTGAATGGTTGGCAAAACATCGGCTAATTGTCTATTGATTGAAGCTTTATAAAATTGTAAATGATAAGCTTGGAATATTTTTATAATTTGGCAGATGTTTATAAATTTATGAACAAAAAAACGGTTTTCATATTTATTCCTTTATAAATTTGGTAAATTATTAAACATTACTCTGTAGTCGTGATCTTATTAAACTTGTAATAGTTATTTTAAAAATAGAATTACCCTTGTAAATAAAATGAAATAAGTAAATAACACTAATAATAAATAAATCTAATAAATAAATATTGTTTAATTTTGTTGTTGTTGTTGTTGTAAATTCGGAAGACCAAGACAGAAATTGATATGAGTATGTTATTATTTTGCATTGTGTTTGTGATATTTTCTGTATGGAGTAAACTAGGAGTTTCATTTACTCTTCTTTTTATGAACATGTCGAATTCTGGCTCTCCAAAAATTTTGTGATGTCAACGAACACTCATTGCAACTTTTGTGTTGTCAACGAATACTCTTTGTCACTTTCGTAATGCTCGTTGTAGTAGAGACTTTGTAATCGCAGATACAACTTTAGTAACGCCGTTGAACAATACTGGTGTCAGACGCCTTCGAATATCACTCGCACTAATAGTACTTGCTCGATAATACTCACTCGGAAAGTAACCACAGAATAGAGAAATAGTTTTGTGAATAGAGAACAGACTAGAATAGTAATAGAAGATAGACTAGAAATAGCGATCCATCAAACGTCACGCCATCTGCTATTTATATATTCCTCCATTGTCACGTGATCCACTTTGCGATCTATGTTCAAACTCAAGTGTCGGCAGCGACACTTTTTTCTTATATATCAAAACCTTTCTATGTTTTGTAGCTGCTAGCTATGTATTTTTTTATATACCCACAATTCCATGTTCTGCTTCGTTAGGTATCTTGTTCGGTGTTTCTATCTGTCCCTCTTGACTTCAAAATGTCACGTTAGTGTCGAATTTTCAAGGCTTTCTTTCTTCGTTATATTTCCCAGTTGTTTCAAATCTTTCCGATTCCATCTATACACGTTCTTTTTGCTTCCATTTACCTTAGAACTTTCTCCTCGTCTTCTCTCCTACTCTCTATTCTGCCATGCATGTACACAAACTCGTTAGGTATGCCATATGCTTTTTCCCCTGTCCCTATTGCTATCATTATTAAAATTTCCAAGCCTTCTTTCCTCTTTGTGTACCCTGGAAATTTAAACTGATGATAAATATGAGTGTCTTTTTTGTTCCCATTTTCTATAAAACTTCGTCTTTGCTCACATATACAGTCTATGGTATTCTCAGCATCCTGCTGTAGAACAACGCCTCTGTTTTCTAAGTCACTTCTCCACCAAACGAGATACTGTACAGATTTATTTTACCGCTACATAGGGGGATTGATATTGCATACAATTCGAACAATATTTTCTTTGGTTCCAATGATATTTTTTGTTTTCTTTACACTTTGCTTAGCTTTGCAAATACATTTTTCGCTATTGCATTATGATTTCGGATTTCTGTACCAAATTTTCCATCATCTATCAAAAACACTTCAGACAGGTAAATTTCTGTACCTGCTTAAATTCGATGGTCTCAGATGGTAGAAATTGTGCTTTTTAAATCCTTACATGTAAGTACATCCAAATGAAATTAATATAAAAGAAAAATAAATATCGGGGTCTTAATAGATTTTTCACATCACTAGCTAATGAAATATCCCGTTTTTATAGTATTACACAGGACATAGGTTGAATAGCAAACTACTAATCAGAACTCTGATGACCCGAAATGTTTGAACACCTTGGGCGTGAATTTTGACTGTGATGAATTGCGTGTATATTTTGATATAAAAAGCAACATTGCATGAAAACAATATTTAGTATCAAGATGTCTTCACTCACCCAGATTCCACAGTGAGGCAAGCTAGTCCGTAGTGTTGATATCTTGACCAATCGGCTGACATCAAACCTCTCTAACACCCTCCACCTCCAACTACTGTACCCCAACCCCGCAAAAAATAAAGCAGTATAAAAAGTCAATTGTTCGTTGTTGATGCCGTCCATGAGTGCAGCGACGTTGTTCGTAAAATTGAAGACAAAATTAGAACAATATTAACAAGATGCAATTTCATCCATTTTTTATTAGTTTATAACGGAATTTCCCCATTTCTTCATACTTTGTTCAGTTTAATGATGGCATGGTTCTTTGTTCGAATGAACCTTAGAATTTCTATGTCTATATCTCCAATTTATAAAAATTCGTTTCATTTTTATCCGTAAATATAATTCGCTTACTAGTGTTGAGTAATACATCCTATTAACACATATGATTACTCGGAAGGAGAGATACATGAATTATGATTGCGTTTTTATTTTAAAATTTAGGAGGATAAAAAGAAGATAATTTTAAATTTAAAAAAAAATTCATTGCTCTTATTATTATTATTATTATTTTCGCTGGTATGATTAGGGAGCGGAGGAATTCAGTTAAAATTTGGTATTATTTTCCACTCAGTTCCTAAATGTCTTTGGCATTCTTGACAAAACATTTTCGTCTTTAGGTTTTGAAATTCTCAACAGTGAAAGTAAACACTTCACTTGCCTCTGTTTCATTTTCTATCTTTAATAAATAAAGATCAAGAACAATACTCGCCAGTGGTACGATCATTGTACTGACATTTTTCGATGACTTTCCATCTAATCATTCGAAATGTCAAGCGATAGGATCCGGCCGACTATCATAACAAAAGAGAATTCAGTGTATTTTAAAATTTCTAATGAATTAAATTGGAAACAAAGCAGCGTAAGCGTGTGATAGACTGTGAGCATGCGTGCGTATGTAGGAAAGAGTAAAAATTGGGAGAAGTGGACATCGAGAAATACAGAAGGAAAGAAAAATGGAAACAATAATGAAAGGAGCGAATGAATGAAAGAGGCGAATACTTACGAACAGATTGATATTGATATATAGATATCGATCTGATCAGAGTGAGTTAGAAAAATAGGAAGAGAAAGGAGGAAAAACATGAGATAGATAGATAGATAGATAGAGAGATAGATAGATAGATAGATAATGAACTGCAAGATGTTGATAGATAGATAGACAGACAGATAGATAGATACATAGATAATGAACCGTAAGACATTGATAGATAGATAGATAGATAGATAGATAGATAGATAGATAGATAGATAATGAGGCGTAAGATGTAGATAGATAGATAGATAATGAGCCGTAAGAAGTAGATAGTTAGATAGGAACAGATTGGGATATATATATATATATATATATATATATATATATATATATATATATATATATATATATATATGACTTAAGATTAAGACATAAAGATATCTTATCTTAGTCGACATCTTTCGTTCTGTAGGATTTTATTAAGGCAAATACCTAATAAGTCCCACAGAGGACAAAATACGTCGTCTAAGATAAGTTTTCTTATCGTTTTTATTCATATTATCCATTTACAGATATATTCTCTCTGAAATTTGTACATACACAAAGACAAACACACACATATATATATATGAAAAGTGTGTATATAAAATATATATATATATATATATATATATATATATATATATATATATATTATATATTTTTTTCAATATCAGAGAAACATATATATATATATATATATATATATATATATATATATATATTCCTTTTTTTATATGTTGAAAGAAAATGATGCAATTATCATTGCTGGAGCGGTCAGATAATACGTAATAGCAAAGCAACATCAGTTATAAAATTTATTTCAGTGTTACTTTGCATCTAAATTCTAATATATACATAAACATATATAAGATAAGAATGTATATTTTTATATATCAAGAACGCTTTTTGCGAAATCTTATGACAAAGTGGAAAAAGTTTATTTGTGACGCGTTTCAATCCTTCAGGACTTCAAATAAATTTCTGTTGAAAAAAAAATCTAAACTTTCCAGCACCCCTCTGTCGTACGCATATGTACTACTATATACATATGAGCACGACTGAGCTGTGCTGGGATATTTTAGAATTTTATTATTATTATTATTATTATTATTATTATTATTATTATTATCTGGACGAATTAATTTCGAGGTTTTTTCTCTTTCTTTCCATCAATTTTGTAAGTCGATATTCAACACTGCCATATAAGAAAATCTGCCAGGAATGGTGAAAAGCTGCAAGAGCTAGCGTGCAAATCTACTGTAGATGAGGTTGTGATTAAGGCACTCTCTAGACATTTACTGGAAATCATTAATATAGTTACCAATTATAACTTTACTCGAATCAGACGGGTAAATAAAAAAACATGAGAACAGTGACCCGCTTACACGATAGCTTTACCGATTAGCTACAGTTTACTTGTTAAGGCCCCACTGTTTAGTTTACCGTTAAGCGAGACTAGCATTTAGACGTCTGACATGAATTTCGTTTTGTATGCGAAGTGTTAACTTAATTTATCATCTTGTAGGAGTATATTTCTCAAGTTATAAAATAGTAATGCTAAGAGTAAAAATAACCGTTTGCATATAGGAATCATTCAGCATTTATTGAGCGAACATTTAGCGATATTTTTTTTTAATTTTATACTAATGTTGACTCAAGATAAGGCCCTAGAGTCATCCAATGTAGAGGGTTGCTCTCTAGTGTTGTTTAACCGCTAGAAAAGGCAAGAGTCTGTTCCATAAAGTAGATTTCCTTGGGAAGAAGCTGTCCGAACGGAAGTTCTTTATTACTAATGGAATACAAAGGGAATGAAGATGTATGTGTTGAAATTTATAAAAAAAAAATTCTTAAAATGTTTTTTTTTTCCGGGAGTTCAACTTCTTATGTTAAATCTTGAGCCCTTATTTAAATTAAACCCAAACCTCATGTTGAACTCGTAAATACGATCCATCGCTAATGAAACTGCAAAATGGTCGATTCGTTGTACCGCTCCAGTAAGTACCTGACTCTTCTAGATCAGGCAAAAAATGACGTACTGTATGTTAGACATTTTCATGACAGTCGTCCTCGAGTATTGAATCGAGAGGTTAGCAGTGAATATTTCGGAGACAGTAGGAAAGCGTACTTTAGGTTCGCAGTGGATATCACAGCAGAGTGTAGTTCATCCTTCTCCTGGTCGCCTTTGGTCCTTCCGGTAGACGAAACAAGATGGCCGCCTTTATACACGATGAATACAGTGTTGTGCAGCTTTGGATTGGTCAACCTTGGTCGACTATAAAGGGAAATAAGTCATTCTGACTCGCTCACTAGTCATGTGCATTATATGCCCAAAAAACCGTAACACTGTAGACATATATGCACAGGAGCAGCTCAGTCTTCATTTTCCTGCTTCCTTGTGGATGAGAGATTATTTTCCACACAATAAGACCTTTCTCATGAACGAAACGTCACGAAGCCTCTCGTTACTCTATTGCTATTCCCATGGAAAGTATTCAGACGACCAGTTCGCGGCTAAGACCTCCCGTTGCCACGCACATCATAGCGAACCGCCTTCGTTCCCTCCGTATTCCTTTCGTGACATGTTGGTTCCACGCGAGCAGCTTCTTCCCACGATACGCTATTTAGTGAAAACAACTCCCAGGATTATACTTCTCCGAACACCACGATGTTAGCCTGTTCAAGTCTGGGCATAAACTATGCCTTTTGAGTTGCAACCTTCTATCTCAAGTGGATCCAAGACCTTGTACAAGGTGAGCATCATTTAAAAATAAAACCCTTATCGCTTTTTTCTTTTTTATACTCATTCCTTTTTCTCGTAATAAAGAGCGGATCAGAAGTTCTTTTGGGGGGAGGATTCTTCCCACCAAAACAAGGACAAAAGTCCGTATATGTCCGGTCTAGAAACACAAAATGATACAGTCGTGTAGTCTCGCGTCCATTACAATTATCGTAGACGTATATAAAAATCATATCTACCTGTTTGCGATATGAATATCCTGCTATATTTAACAGTCCCCACCAAGGAATGTATATGGCACAAGGCCGTGTTTAACGTGGGTTTCTCCGAGCCCATAGGCTCGGCCAAAAATATTCCCTTTGAACACGTATAAACAGGTTCAGGGACTGTCTACCTCCCTGGACGCAACTTTGCCCTTCGGCAAAGCTTCGTCCGGGTTCCTCTCTGTCATAGCAGAGAGTTCGACATAAGTCGCACACAGTCAGAGACTGCTCAACGACCGCTATATGCATATCCTGCCAATGTTAAACGGAAATCTTCTTAGTTAAATCACTACTACACACGTTAAACGTTGAAGACAGACTAGCTACAAATGTACAGGAATTAAAAATTTAACGTTGTTTACATAGCAACACAGCGTCATCTACAGGAGACTCACTTTAAACTTAATGACACGAAAACGAAGGATTTGTGGACATATATTTATATGAACTTTTATCCTTCTTTTGGAGTGCGGAACCCGTCCCCAAATTTTGTAAAAATATTTTTGATATAGAATATATAATTATTTTTATTTCATGTGGTTTGTATTTTTTTTTGTCATTAATTCGAATTCTCAGGTTAATGCTTTCGTTTGTGACTTTTAGCGCATGTCTCTAGCGGCAAATGAAGAGCCGTCTTTTAAATGATTTTAATCATTGGTCTGAGAAGACATTTTTACACAAATAACAGCTTAGACATTACTGAACGGGTTAGACGGCATGCATGACATCTGTGTGGCTGTCTAGATCTGGGGAATTATTTAAGAACATGACTAGAGTTCAATGGCTTGCTTCCTTAGCAATATGCTGTATCGTACTACCTCAAGTGCGACCACATCAGTGTTCAATTAATTTATCGCCCATACTAAATGTGCTATAAACGGTCATCATACCAGAATATTTGAAGTGCTTAATTGTTTTTTACGGTTTATCAAACCTTTTGCAATGTTATTTAAAGCCTGAATATATATTTTACATTGTAAGATCATTTTTGTGGGGAGAAGATAATAATGATTTCTTGATACATGTCTTACTAATTAACCCGTAGCTGGGGGAGAAGAGATGGAGCCATACATTTTCCAAGGGTATTTGCGTGTAAGTGAATATAACGAACCCAACGTGAATTGGAACTGGGCTCCACGATTAACAATTCCGAGCCATTATCCATTACACCACCCGTATACCCAAGTCTACAGCACTTGATATTTACAAGCGGTCACCCATCTAGATACTAACCATACTCGAGTTTGCTAACTTCAGGGATCGAACGGGAACTGTTGTTTGAATGCTTTAGGGCCGTAAGCTTTCAATTTTCTGAAATTTTACGTTTCAGTTTGGGTATATGCCATCACTGCTCGCAATCCAATTCCACATCATAGTTTCTGCTTTGGAAAGTGTGAAATAATAATTTTAGACTATTATGTTTTTTTAGTGACAGTGTATTTAGCTCAAACGTTTTGAAGCTGACCTTAAGGGCAGATGTTAGACAAAATAGGGATGTGGATTTTGATTGGATGAGCCGAACGTGGGAATGTTGAAGTCAGTGTTTTCAGGAAGTTTAATTTTACGCGTCGAAGAATGTAGGTGATATTTCCGTGTGTAGATACTCCTCGGTTTGTATAGCAACCTCACTGACTAGTTAAAAATGTACACGTCGATGTGTTTAATAAAACAGATAAGTTAAACGTCCCTTTTGCTGTAGTTCACATTTTAACTCCGAACTAACTAGCGATCACTCGGCTTAGAGAAGTAAGACAACTTTATTATGATCGCGTCTGTCAAGCAAAAGATCTTCCCAAAAGGAAAGGAGTATACAACAAAATATGTTGAACAAGTTCCACTTCTTGAAACACTAATACAGAATGTTGGCTTTTATCACAACAATAAATACCTATCTATACCTATGTCATCAGTAAAACTCGTATCATCATCGATAAACTTGTAAAGCCATGTTGTTATAAAGTTCACAGTCACGTTTTTATTCGTCAAACATTTACTGTTCTTTTTTTTTACCAAGAGAATAAACAGAGTTCATAGTAAAAACGAACAGGATGATAGGTACGCAGTGAATTCAAGTCTAAAAGAAACCTGCTGACAGGAAGACGAAGACTGAGAATGAGATAAACAGAAGAGAAAAAAGACGACTTAAAATGGAGGAAGAAAAATGCG